TTCGGGGTTTCTTTAATAGTGGGGCCGAAAGGTCCTTGCACCGTTTTTAAAAGTCTATGACTCTGTGCTTTCACATTTTCATGCAAATTAGTGCTAAAAGGAGAATTTGGATCCCCTTAAGGACTATTAATTCCGAGTTTTTAATTTGTGTGAAAAAAAGAATAAATTGTAGTAATGACTCTTAATTTTAATTAAATTAAAGCAATGATATTTCAATTAAAAATTCATTATAATTAGTCTCTCAACTCATCAAAATGTGTAGTTATGATCATTTTTATTAATTTCGTCAGAATTTTGTCAAAATAAGTTATGTTGGAATGATCATTGCTACAATTGGAGTTTCTCAACTCATCAAAATTTGTAGCTATGATCATTTTCGTCAACTTCACTAGAATTTTGTTAGAATGAGTTATGTTGGAAGGATCATTGCTACAATTGGGTTAAAGTTAAGGGACCATTTCTCTAATTGGATGCAAGTTGAGGAACCATTTCTTCAGTTAGATTAAAGTTGAGGGACTAACGGTGAACCTTTAATTTGTGTAAAGTGGGACAACGCGATGATTTAGTAGAGACCCTTGAATTAAATTTGAATGATCTAAATTGTCTGATTTTTCAACTCCAGATAATGAAATCAGAAGTTAATCTCTTTCGGTAAAAGCGTTCATTCAAAACTTTGGCTCACAGCCTCAGGGTCCAACATTTTGCATTGCACCAGGTCAAATTAATAAGCAGCATAATTAAGATGGAACAGGAAAAGTGTGCTGTATTTTTATTCATTTATTTTTCATGAGCTGGCTATTTTAAAATATTGAAGAGCCAACCATAAGATTAATGTAATTGATTGATTTTTTTTTTTGTCAATAGGTAATTGATTGATTTTTTTGGTCAATATGTAATTGATTGATTAGCTTTTAGTAGAGATGAAAGTTTACAATTTCTTCAATTCTAATAAGTAACATTGAATGAATACAAAAATAAATACTTGACATCGAAAATAGAAAATCTAAGCTAGGGTGAAAATAATTTAACGACTTACGCATTCATTATCTTTATATGTCTTTATATATAAAGTGAAAAGCGCAAATAAGTGAAACATTCGAAAACTCCTAAAATGCCCCTTTGTTTCCTTCTCAATTAAATTCAAAAAAATCAGAAAACAAGGAGAAAGTGGTAAACAAACAATACTGAACAGAAAACTGTTTTGGAAAGAAAAAAGAAACAAAAATAAATTAATAATAAAGAATTTAAACATATAGAAAACAAGAGATAATCCAAACCAAATGGCATAACCGTTTAGAAGAGGAGAGCATAAACGTGGGCATCAATTTTGAAAATGCTGTGAGTAGTTACGGTTTGGTTTATATTCTTCTTCATCACGCAAAAGCTAAATCATCTCAAGCTTTCGTTACATTTTGTTATTCTCTTTTGTTTCTTGGTGTTTGATTTCTTTTCCCTTTTGTCTTGTTTTAGTTTATGTGTAGAAAAGTTGTTCAGTTTAGCAATGCAAGTCTTTAATTTACCTTTCAAGCTATTTTTTAGTTTTTCGATTTTCAGTTACAGATTGCTATTATTTTTTATAATTACAGGTGCTTTCATTGTTCCTCATGGATTACGCATCAAAATTGTTTCAACATGGTTGCTGCCGAAAGCATGAAGTTTCTAATGGTGATCAAAAGATTTTTGTTTTATTCACTTTTTTTTTTTTTTAATTCAATTTGTAAATTCTTCTTCATTGTCAGTTTAAATTATTTCGTTTACTTTCTCAACCTTTTCTTCAATGGAAATCCAACACATTCATGGGTGCTTTGCTATTGTTGAATTGAATTTCCAGATTCTATCAAAATTCAGGCCATTGAATATTTTTTTTTTTTTTAAGAAGAAGATTAGGCAAAATAGACAACACACACCCATTGACACTTCCAAGTTCCATGTAAGATGTTGTTATCCCTATTTTAATTTCTTATGTTTCTACAGTTTGTTATGATCCTTCACAAAATATGCGCTTATGATTGAAAAGCTTTTCACCTTTAACACAATTGTAGTATTGATCCATGATATGTGGAATCTGATTTATGACATTTGTATTTTAATTAATTGTTGTTTCTTTTATGGCAGGCAACAACTTCATGAACAACAAAAGTCAAATTGCAAATGAGAGTAATAAGGGAAATTCCAATATCTCAGAGATTGTCGAGGTAAGAATCTCAGTAATTTGTTTGTCATCAACTATATAATTTTTTTTCCTCTTCCCTTCTCGGTTTGTTTCTTTGGTTTTTTTTTTTGAAGTTTTGTTTAATGATGATTTATGTAGACAATCACTTTCTTCATTGCTTCAAAATATTATGTTTCAAAATTTTATCACAAATTTATTTGTTAGAACGATTTTCTTGAAATTTTAAGTGTACGTGGTTGTGTTGTAACTGATTAACTCACTGTTTGTTTGATCTAATTCTCATCCTATGTTACTATTTGTTTGTTTTGGTATTATTAAATGCTGCCATATGAGTAGCACACCTAATCAAGAAATTTTTATTTAATTACATTCTCATTTGTTAAGATGCCTTCTTTACATTCATTTTTTTTCAGTTTGAAAGTATTATTAAATGCTGACATATGAATAGCAAACCTCTCAAGCTTTGTAGATATGTATTGTCAAAGTTTCTTGAATATACAATTGAAAGTAGAGATATATATAGAACTAATAAGTATATCTAGAACTATATATTATATATATACATCTTACATTTTTTTTCTATGATGCCTACAACTATCAAGTATATCTAGAACTAATAGTTTCAAACAAATTGCCTGGCATGAAGACTAAAGTGACAAACTTAAAGAAAACTTTATTGTAATTTCTTGGTGAAGATCATAGTTTAATACTAATTGCCAACTTGTTTGCAATAATAATTGGATAGTTTAATTTCTCTTATTTCAATTTTAGACGTTCTCTAGAGTAAGTGTGCACACTATTTTTCTAGCTATAAATTTGTATATGTTTCGCTATATACTTTTTTTACATCAAAAAGCCTTTTTTGAAATGCAAGATGAATTACATGGTATGTGGACAAAAACCTATGTAGGCATAAATTACTTTTGGCTTACGATACCACATAAGGATTGCTTGGCTAAGGAACTTGAAGATTCAAAACTTTTCAGTTCTTTTTCCCGTTTTGTTGGTGTTTGAAATGATTCGTTTTTATGCATTTTTCTTCTAAATTCCCAACAATTGGTAATCTAATTGTATCATTTCTTTTTGTTAATTCAAGGTTTTAGAATAATTGTGTTGGTCATCTCTAATGTTTTTATTTCATTGTCAGTACCAATTAAAATGTTATGTACAAATGTTTAAACTTGCAATACAATATCTATGATAATGTGATTTGTTATCATATGATTTGGAAACAAGCATTGGCATTGTGGGGTTATTGAATTGACAAAGCAGTTTGCAGGTGGAATGAGAAAGTGTAACATATATGTCAAGAAAAAAATAGTAGATGTACTATGAAGCCACAAACCTTTCAACTCATTTTTAGCAACTTTTTTTCTATGATAAACGGCGAGGAAAAGATGATATATATGAAATATCTTGGTTCCTTGTTGTATTTCTTTCTTTATTAATTACTAACCTCTGCAAAAGTGATTTTGTGCGTGTAAAGAGTCTTTCTTTTCTCACGCATTTTACACGCGATTTAATTATGTTTTATTTCTTTTTATTTGCAATGTATGTTGTATTTTATTTTAAAACGCGATATGAGAAAGAAAACTGACACATCCCAACCCGGAATGTCCACTAGGATCTCGAATTGAGCCGTGCTGGCCGATACCTGAAAAGTGACGAAGCCATAAAGTGTGATAGTGTATAAAATGTTAATAAATTAAAACCTAAAAGTAAGTTCCCAACATATTCTTCCGTCGAGTGTTAGTTGAAGCCATAAAGTGTAATAGTGTATAAAATGTGAATAAATTAAAATCTAAAAGTGCTTAAGTACACGAGTGCGCAGTGAGCGGGTCCTAGTGAACATTCCGGGTCGGGGTGTGTCAAAAACAACTAGCACAACACATCTTAAGAGGCGCGTTGTGCCCGTGATAAAAAAGGGCCTCTAGCATGTGCGTGAGCGCGTGCGGAGAGACTAGTAATGATTAAGCTAGGTTTGAAAATAATTTAACGACTTACGCACTCGTTATAATGAATGCTACATAGTATTGAAGTAAAAAATTTGATATATTTTTTATAGACTTACCACAAATAAATAATAATCTACAATTAGTGATTACCTCTTCCAATATTTTAAATAAAAATATTTAAGTAGTTTAATTTTTATGAATTGTTTTTACTATTTGATTTCTTGAAAAAAATCTTCACTGTTTTATTTTTTAAAATCAATCTTCATCCTTTATTTTTCAGACAATTGTATTGATTTTTTTTTTAGTCGAAGACAACTGTATTGGAATATTGAGGATAAATTGTATCAAAATACACTCAAAGATATTTTTGTAAAAGTACATGATTAACTTTTGTTTTTTGGGTAAACAGTTTATGATTCACTTGATAAAGCATGATTACGGTAAGAAATCGGTCCGTAGCATGGGACAAACAAGTGTGCTTTGCAGCTTTGATGCGTGGGAACGCGATTGGGCCCACAGAAGACTGATAAAAAAACCAAACAGGCCCACTGCCCCCGCTGCCCCGTACCGGGCCCCACTTCCCTAAATCCCTCAATTATTATTACGCTCTCTGCACTCCACCTCTTTTACTCGGCTCACCCTCATCGGCTAGGCTCCCTTCCCTCGGAAAGCTAACCCCCCGCGCTCGAAAGGTGCGTGCTCCCCACCCTCCCCATTCAAATTTTGCCACTCCTACAACTACAAGTACACCCCATCTGTTTCCCAAGACGCTTTTCAAACTTCAAACCCAAAACCGCGGCTCCCCAACGCATCCCTCTTTCTCTCCTCCAATCTATGTCTTCCTCTCTCTAGACTCTCTCTCTCTCTCTCTCTCTCCCCTCTCAAATCCCTCTCTTTTTCAACCTCTCTTTTCTGCGCTTCTGTCTCTTCCGAACTCGTTCTCTGCAATAATCATACTCCCAGAAGAACTCTCTGAGCTCTCAGAGAATCGAAAACCACACCTTCCTCCTCTGATACCGCAAACCCAGCACCTCCGCCTGCCTTTCCTCGCAGAGGTTCCATCTGGGTATCTCTCAAAGCCCCAAAAAATGGAACATAAAACCCCTCTGCAAACCCTCCCCGAAGCCTCCCCAAAACCCAGCAAGAAAAGCTTCGTCACATCTCTAATGTCCCCCCGCAACCCCTCCTTCCAAGAAGACACCTACGTCGTCTCCAACCTCAAATCCTCCGAAAAGAAAGCTCTCCAAGAACTCAAAGACAAGCTCTCCGCCTCGGACTCCGCCTCCGCCGCCATGTGGGGCATTCCTCTTCTGGGCAACGACGAAAAGGCCGACGTTGTCCTCCTCAAGTTCCTCCGGGCCCGGGACTTCCGCGTCCCCGACTCCTTCGCCATGATTACCAAATGCCTGGCGTGGCGGAAGGAGTTCGGTGCCGACGGCGTCGTGGAGGAGGACTTGGGTTTCAAGGAGCTGGAGGGGGTGGTGGCCTACATGCACGGATACGACAAACAGGGGCACCCTGTCTGCTACAACGCCTATGGAGTTTTCAAAGATAAGGAAATGTATGAGAGGATTTTTGGGGACGATGAGAAGCTGAAGAAGTTTCTGAGGTGGAGGGTTCAGGTCCTTGAGAGGGGAATCAATGCTCTACATTTTAAGCCCGGCGGGATTAATTCGATTATTCAGGTCACTGATCTGAAGGACATGCCTAAGAGGGAGCTCAGAGTTGCTTCCAATCAGATCCTCTCTCTGTTTCAGGACAACTATCCTGAAATGGTCGCAAGAAAGGTAATTTAATTAACGTTTTATATGGTTTCCACTGTGTTTTTTATTTGGCTCAGTGGACTGTAATTTTTGAGGCAATTCACATGTTTGCTAGCTTAATTGTTCAATTTTTTAATTTAATTTACTGGAATGTAATGTTTTAAGGTAATTCTGATGTGGGTTTATAATTTGATTTAGTGCACTTTTTTTTGAGCTAATTTCATCTGGGTTGAGGTTTTACCGTAAAATTAATTGACAATATGGAAATTAGCCAACTTATAAGCTATTGCAAGATTTACCTTTTCTCCTTAAATTTTATATTCTCACAATTTTGAAGCTAAATATTTTGACAACATCTGTGGCCGGTGAGGTTCACACGTCGGCTAATCTGCTCTGATACCATAAAGGAAATTGAGATTCAACCATAAAACCGATTGGCAATGTAGGGAGTATCTAACTTACTTGTAAGCCATTGCAAGGTTGTTTTGCCGACATGGGACTCTTTAACCTTCACATTCTCACAATTTCATTCTTCACTTCATATAACTTATTTCACTGATTAGGTTTTTAGTTTGATTCACGGGGATGTATTTTTTTTATGTAATCCTGATCTGGTTTTTCGATTTGAATTGATGGACTGTATCTTACTAGTTTTTGAGCTAATTCTGATCTGGGTTTCCCTGCTTGCTCACTTAATTGTTCACCTTTTCCTTTAATTACTTGTATTATTTGAGGTAATTTTGATGTGGATGTGGGTCTTCTAATTTGGGGTTTTTTGTTCAGATTTTCATCAACGTGCCATGGTACTTCAGTGTGTTGTATTCTATGTTCAGCCCATTTCTGACTCAAAGAACAAAGAGCAAGTTTGTGATAGCAAAGGAAGGAAATGTTGCTGAAACACTCTACAAGTGAGTCCCCTTACCATCAAACATTTAACCTCTTTGTTTTGTACTCTTTGTATAAAAACTGGTTCTTTAATTAGGGTTTTGGTCCCTACACTCAGCTCTTAGGGGTTAATAGTTTCAGAATCGGGTTTTGATTCCTTCTCCTATTTTTCCATTTTTGTTTAAGGGTTTTGAAACAGTTCTCTCTTATGTACACTGTACAATTGGTGGTCACTTACTAGAGATAGGTATTTATGTTGTTCCGAAACAGGTTCATAAGGCCCGAGGACGTTCCGGTTCAGTATGGCGGCCTGAGTCGACCGAGTGATGCGCAAAACGGCCCCCCCAAACCGGCTTCCGAGTTCACCGTCAAAGGAGGAGAGAAAGTGAACATACAGATTGAGGGGATTGAGGTTCTTGAATCTTCTGCATTATTTTTATGACCCTTCATTTTATTCTCTTTAAATTAACGATTTAAATGCGATTAACGTGGTTAATTTTTGGTGTGCTGGTGTTGAAATTGATTAGGCTGACGCAACAATCACATGGGACATAGTCGTGGGAGGGTGGGACTTGGAGTACACTGCAGAGTTTGTGCCAAGTGCAGAAGGCAGCTACACCATCCAAGTGGAGAAGCCAAGAAAAGTGATGCCCTCCGAAGAAGCAATCCACAACTCCTTCACTCCTCGTGAAGCAGGGAAGATGGTTTTCTCAGTCGACAACTCTGCCTCCCGCCGGAAAAAGGTAGCTGCATATCGCTACATTGTCCGCAAATCCGCCCCCGTCCAAAGCTAACTTCAACAACTGCGAGGGGATTCATTAGTTAAACTTGTAGTAGTAAGGTTTTTGATTTTGCAGTTTGCTTGCTATGTTGTTTTTTAGGGTTTAAGCAATGGTTGTGAACCTTGTTATTTTGTCTGCTTGAAAGTACTTGTAATGTATAAAAGGATGCATGATATATTTATACTATTATTAAGAGAACTTTCCTTGTCAATTTTTTGCTACTTTTTTTTTTTTTTCCTATTTTACCGTCACTTTTGATATACAATACTTACATAAGAAGGACAAAATAGTAACTTTGTATCCTTTTGCCTCTTGGTTCTCATTTTTTATACATAATACTTACATAAGGAGGGTAAAATAGTAATTTTGTATCTTTTGAGAAAATGACAATCATATTCTTATTTTTCTTATTATACCTTCACTTTTAATATACACTATTTACATAAGAAGAATAAAATTATGTAATATTAAGATAAAATATGCACTTATTAATAGAAATTATCCCATTCTTATTTATTCATACCTTTTTTAAAAATTTTAAAAACTAATTACACTTCTTAATAAAAAATAAAAAATTGCTGCTTTTTCCTATTTTGCCCTATATACAATATTTATATAAGGAGGGTAAAATAGTAATTTTGTATCTTTTGAGAAAACGACAATCATATTCTTATTTTTCCTACTTTACCCTTGTTTTTTTATACATAATATTTACATAAGGAGGATAAAATAGTAATTATGTAATATTAAGATAAAATATGCACTTATTAAGAGAAATTGTCCTACTATCATTTTTTCATACTCTTTAAAATTTCAAAAACTAATCACACTCCTTAATAAAAAAAACAAAAAATAAAATAAAATTGTTCACACACACATAACATATGCTCATCAGCTAGTATCGTTTAACATAAGAGGAAAGCATATCTATTGACTTTGGTTTAGCACCAGTCTCAATTGTGTCAATTCTTAAGAGTGGGTTCCATGGATCCCGAGCTATAATCGCCGCAACTGCACTAAAATAATGAGATAGAGGTACTTGAAATTGCCTATATGCAATTTATTCAAGAGAACTTTCAAATGACAAATTGATGGGTGTCTTCTTGGTAGTTCTTCGTGTAGTGCGCTTATGGTGTGTTTGTAATGTTTGAGTACAAGCTTTCTACGGCATGAGTTGGTAACAACTGAGTCTAAAGTTTCAAGTCTTTTATTCAAACACAGCATTAAGTTTGTCTACCTACATTTACATTAGAGAGAACTTTCAAACGATGAATTGAAAAGTTATGTGATGAATAAGACAGAAATACGAAATAATTTTTTGGTTACACCCAAGTTTTTCTTGGAAGGGAGAGTTTTTGCTGGTGTGCAGCAGGTTGATTTGCTTGATGGTCCCAAATAGTAGTGACTGGTGAATGATGATCATGATGTGTCTAGGGCATGAAGCTTGAAAGAGACTGATTAATGGTCACAATATTTGCCTTTGATTTGGTTTCGCTTGTTGTACAAGGGTATGGGGGGAGAGGGGAGTGTTGGGACTAACAAAAGGTAGCAGAAGTGGGGGATGAAAGATATTGATCACCGTCTGGGGGCCCTTGGGTTTGTTGCCTGGGCCTCTAGAATCTGGATTGGGTTTTCGGAAGTGATGAAAAAAATTACATATTTTAAGTTAAAAAATATATAAATAAATACGTCTTATTGCATTGATGTTTGTAGTGACAAAAGTAATATAGTGTCATGAAATATATTTAAGGTAACGGCTCCCTCTTTCCCCATTTATTGTCGCATAAATATTTTGAAATACGTAAATATAAGCTGATGGTGCACGAAAATGACATTCTTTGCAGCAAGAAAACTTGGTGCAAAGTACTTTTGACTGATTAAGATTTTGGGGGAGATATTAATCTGAATGCATAAGGTTCATGTTTCTTAAAATTATCATCAAGTTCATCAACTAAAATAGTCCTCAACAGTAAAGAAAGGGTAATTGGTAAGACTAAATAATATTTTCTAAATTACAAAATTGTAACATAAAAATATTTATGTTGTCGAACTAGAATCACGTTCGCAGTCTAGACCACGAGCTAGAAACTTGTCTGAATCCATACATGTGGTGACTCCGTATAAGGAACCGAGCAGATGTACTTAATGGTTTTATCTTCCAAATTGAAGGTACATATAGCTGTAAACTTGGCACCCCTCACCACAACAATTCCATGAAAGTATATGCAATTCGCTTTGAATCGAGAGCAGTTCAAAGCTTCAATGGAGATCGAAGAACTCTCGGATCCCAGTAACATGGTACTATTCCCCTAGTTTTTAACCTGCAAGTCAGGCAACTTACCCGAACAATCGCCATTAAACGGCGCCTTGAAAACCCTATACTCAATCAACATTCTTCATCTTTGGTTCATCAAAATCTTCAACGTCACAGGTCACAATAGTTCCAAAATATTCCACCGAATAAAATCGACCGTTGAAATAAGTTAGGTCTAAAATATGTGAGGAATTTCTAAGAGAGTCCAGATGATCAAAAAATTGATCTAAAACATCTGTATCAGCAATTGTCCATTCATCTTCTCCTGGTCTCCCAAGTACCTTTCCAAGTTCACAAGTAACTCCGACTGTGTAATTCGATGTCCGAGACGGGCTCGCGGATAACACAAACTTTGTAACTGTGAAGTAATAGTCTTCAGAATAAAACCACTCTTGAATATTTTTAATCTTGTTAGTATCTGGGAGTTTGATTTGGCAATGATTTATAGTTTTATAGGATGCAATAAACGGACCTCAAAAACTTCGGATACAGATATAAGCCATCCCATAGAAGGATAATAAGGCTGCCGTTTCTTGGATTCTGGCAGATTAAGTTTGTGAAACCTACCTTTCATTTTGTTGCTAAATTCAGGAGTGATGGTATCCACTTTGTTTGGTAACATATTCAATGGGAATTGATGTGTTAATCTTCCAATAAAGTTTTCTTTGGTCGCGACCGAGTTCCATGATTTACGAACTCCACCAAAAGCAGTAACATCCTGCATGCAAACTATCCGTTTGGCGATATACGTAACGAGATCTCCATGAAGAATCGACCAGTCAGCCATCAAGATATCAATTTGGTATCAAATATTCTTGCCCTTCCTCCAAGATGTAAAATTAAATGGAAAAAAGTAAGCCGTATAACAACAGCAGCAGCAACGAGGAGGATATATATACTAGGGTTATGTGTGCTGTATACATACACAGATTCCTCCTTAAGCAACTGGTTCTAGCATTGGCCTTGTGCTTGCTATGACGATAATATAAACCTTATTCAATGCGGAAAACAAACTGAAAGATGCACTGCCTGATTGCGAATACAAAAACCAGATTGAAAAATGAGTTGCTTGATTACGAATTCGGGAAACAAATGCGTTGCCTGATTACGAAAATGGGAAATAAACTGAAAGATGCCTTGCCTAGTTATGAATACGGGAAACAAAGTGGTAATAATAAGCAGGAAAATAAATTAAAGGGTGACTGTTTGTTTGGGTACAACTTTGGCCGCTGGCACGCTGCTAGTGTTTTTAAGAAGGCTACTATCCTCGGGTACAACTTTGTATATATTTTCCAACCTCAAAAGGAAAGGGGATGCTTCTCTACAGAAGTCATCCGGTGGACTCCTCCTATGGAAAATCCTCAAATCAGTTGTATCACATAGCAATAGTGGTGCTGTGGCCATATTGGTAACATAGAAAGCTGTTACCACCGAGTTTAATTTGCGCACGGGTTAAAGGATGCAACATAATAGTTCTTGTTTCTTTATCCAGTTTAGATAAAGTCAGCAACAATCCTAGGGAAGAACCAAATTGCATTCTCTGATCAACTTCTGGGAGACAAAGTTCTTAAGACTTGCCTTTTTTTCATATTGTAAACCTCACAGATGATACAATCCTCCTGATGAGATGCAGACATAAGCAATGGAAAATGCCTTGATCGACTGGTAAAGTTGTTTTTCGTTGCGACTGATCTCCATGACTAGCAAACTGCACCAAGATCTAAGCGATAGAGGTAACAAGTTGTTGAGGAAGACTCACAAACTGCACCAAGAGCAACAAAATCCTCCATTGAAACTACCCTTCTAAGTGATAGAGGGAACAAGGTCTTGAGGAAGACTCGACCAGTCAGCCATCAGGAGATGCAATAGTAGTAGCACAAGAGAGGCTAGAGAGCCTGTGCCTTATATGTTGCGGCCAAAGAGGGAGAAGCCTATGTTCTTCTACCAACTTACAGCCTCATATTAATTTTTGGGTATTTCAATTTTCAATCCACTTGTTTATCTGGGTAAATAACACTACACGACGTTGTGACCATCACACCAAACAAAATTTTAAGGTAGAAGCTAACTTCATTCTTTTCATATAATATATCAGTAATTTTGTATTCCTCGTTGACAGTTCATGGTAAGACAAATATTTACTTGTTCTGTTTTTCCCTAGTGAATTCTAAAACCAGAATTTGTGGCTGCACTTTTTCTTTCAAATTTGGCAGGAAGCTGGAACTGCACCTGCTGAGAGATGTTTGATGAATATTGTTGGTTGCTAATCCTTAACCGCGGTTGCAAATCACTGCGTTTAAGGCCTCATCAAGGAAGCTAATTAATCAATGAGCTTGAACCTCTTCGTAATCCCTTGATGTTTTCCTCCGACTCAAACAATTAGAAAATCGAGGAAGCTTCAACATGGTATTTACTCTGTCAACTTCTTTAAGGGCGTTCCACTCTTCCTTTGCATCTTGTGAGACATTACAATTCAACACAGTATCTTTCCAGTCCTCCGTCATCTTGCTGTTAATCTCGGAAGCAGTGCCTCCCTGATCGCTTACAATGTTCGATCTTGTGCTATAATAAGAAAGTGAGAGCTGAGAGTCATTCGCTTTGCCCAGACGGCTCACGTGGGATGTCGAATGTGTTAATGAAGAAGCAGGTTTGTCTTTCAGATACAAGCATATAGCTGCGCAGTCATCAATTTTTGATGCTGGGAACTTTCGTTTCCATGCTCTAACCGCACGCCTTACTAGTAATTCTGCTGCCATGGACCGCTTCCTTGCTGAAGCAACTATCTTTACCACATCAGTGTTTGTTAAAGCATCCCACACCTGCGCAACGCACACCATCAATATCTTAATGTAGCTTGATAAATGTTAAGAGTTACCAAATATATTCTACATAAATAAAACTGTCACATCACTTCGTAAATAAATTGAATGACCGTAACAATACTTGTAGACAAAAGAAAAATAAAAGTCCTATGAAGCAAAACGCCGAAGCCATTGAAGAAAACAAACAAATCAAGCCCTACAAAGGGAAGAACTGAACACTACGAAGCTAAAAACTCCACTCTGTGAAGCAAGAAACTACAGAAAGAAAAAAAACCCCGATCCTTATGAACAAAATAACCAACCATTCGAAGAAAATCCAGACCCAATGAAGCAAACCGAACCCTATGAAGCGAAAAACAAATACTTAATTGAAGGGACATTCAGGCTCTTGCTTTCTTACCCCATCAGTTGCCAGGACCACAAATTCGTCATCGCTTGATATCTTCCTGTAGAAAACTTCAGGAATTGAGATCAGGCCATAATCTTTGACACAGAAATCCCCGAAAGCCCTCGCCATTGCTAGACCAGGGCAATCTTCATCCGGCATCCATAATCTATACACTTGTGGTTCTTCATCCACTGATAAAATCCTGCCTTTGCATTTCATAATTCTCTCAGCTTCACCTGAATTTCATCAGTAGCAAAAAACAAGAACAATCAAACTCAAAAACTTGATCAAAATCATCATGCAATTCTTAAGGAAATGTTAAGTGAAGTGATTTCCGCACACAACTCTCTCCGCTTGCACACCCATCAAAGGAAAATCAATGGGACAAACATAAACAGGGTGTGCAGAAGGAGAGAGAGGTAAGCGGAAATCATTTCCCGATATTAAGAGCACTAGTACTAAACATACTTGGAGTATCAGGTTTCAAATCAACCGTGAGCTGGACAGGAACGATTTGGTTTTTTTCTCCTGATCTAGTTCCAAGAACCGCACGAGAATCGCCTAAGTTGGCAATCACCAAATTATCACCCTGAAAATGAAACAGCATAAAATTAAAAAAAAGAAAAAGTAATTTTATTGAATTGCTCTCCAAACTTGGAGTGCAAGAAATAAAGTGTACCTGTTTAACTACAGTTACTGCAGTTGAACCGCTGCAGAAGCTATCAATGGTGTTGTCAACGCTAAGTTCCTCGTCCATTTCCTCGAATGATTTGACAAAACTGGCTTCCCATGACGGAAGAGAGATATTGCGACTGGGTTTCCTGTCGTGATTATTCCCGTTGTTTGCATTGATCTCGCTTCCGGCAACATCAATGTCGCTGAATATGCCAGTGTTGAGCTGGTAAATTTTGATGATTTCCGAGAGTTTCGAGGGTAAATTATCACGTACGCATCTTGCAACTTTGTGCCCTTCGGGGCCATGACCATCAAACACACCGCAGAAGTACATGCCGTTCTCAGTAAAGTCCTAAAAAATTCATTGACATAAAACTTCAGTTAAATTCATATATAAAGGACTAGTAAAGAACAAGTTTTGCAGAAAATAGGAGACCAAGAAGATTTTAAATACATTATGAACAAACAAAAAACCGTAAACGACATGTTTACTCAATTGGAATGAAGATTTGATTACGGATTGTAATGTAGATTTCTATATATTAGATTACGAATTATAATGTGGAACATGTATTTTTGGAATCCATACGTGTTAATAAACACAGTAGAGATCAGAAATCAGCACAAATGTAAAACCAAAAAAAAAAGAAAAAGAAAAGAAAAATAAACCAACAAAATTGAAAAGAGACAAATTGATTAAAGGTACCTCCCAAACTGTCATGGCATCTTGATTGATCCCTTTTCTTCCTTGCTGGGTGTACATGGAGATGTTCCTAGAACACCCTTGCAACCTTATGCGGGCCCCATCGTCCCCACACCTTACATTATCCTCCTCCTCCTCCTCAGCCTCGTAGTACTCATTCCGATGGGCCACACCATCATCCTCCATGTACCCTCCTCCATACGATCTCTCCTTGGTACAACAAGCTCCCATGTCTCTCCAGAAATTAAATTAATCAAGCCTCTCACAAAAATGATTGTTCCCAATAAAATGGGAGAAGAGGAATGATGGGGACCCACCAGAAACCAATCAACACCCGAAAGGAAAAAATTGGGTGAAGATGCAAAGGAGGGGGAAGAGAATTGAATGGTGATGGTGTATTTGTGGAGAAATCGGAACTGATTGATATATTTCTCGAAATCAGAACATATTTTTTAAAAGGAAAGAAGGATGAAACGTAAATCGTAGATATTGCAATATGCATGCAACGAGTCAATCAAGCTTCATGTCGTGTGTTGTTGGAGGTTTTACATGTTGTGAAGGAGATGGTTATGTTCTCTTAAATCTCGACGTGCTTTTGATCACAAGAAATTGTTGCAGGATAATCACAATAGTACCCTTTTGGTCTTTGCCAAGGAGGAAGATAGTAATCCTAAATTTACATATCCTCCCAAATGTCTTTAGCTAATCAGAGTACTTAAACCATAATTAGGTACAAAATCTTCCCTATATCGTAGTTGATCGACCAAAATTAAATCCTATTTAAAGTGCATGCACATTAGTGTTTTAGATTTGTATGTGCTTTAGTCAAATGATAACGTGAGATTTGGGATCGCCAAATTCGTAAAGTTCGGATTTTCTACTTGAATTTTGAACTAAAAGCGTTCCTCTTATCTTAATTAATTTTAACAAAACCTTTTACCAGCCGTTAGATGAAAGTCGAATCGTTATAGTCCATACCCCTATCATTTTAGTAGATCTTTTTTTAACTAATCACTACTAAATTCGTTTTATTTTGGTGGTAAAGCAACAACTATTCTTTTTATTTTTAATCATACACTCAACGCTGAATTCATCTTGAAACGTCACAACAATATAACATTGGGTTTAAGCAAATTGCTCGTTGACGTAGTCAATCAGATGGTTCGAACCATATAATTAGTTTAGCTTATGACCATCCTATTCAAAGATATATTTGATTAGGATTTAGCGCTATAATCTAGTGTTATTCCTCTTCACTTGTAAGCGACAGGTCTAGTGGTTCGATTCTCGCCAAAAACGAGTTTGAACCACATTATTACTAGTTCATTGTGATGCTAAACCCACCCACTCTCTATTAGTATAAATAATATCATTTGTTAAAAAAAAAAAAAAGATATATTTGATTAGCAACTAACGCTTTATCATGTAAATGTGTAGTCTTCACAACTGTAGTTAGTGGATAACTCGACTTAAAAGTGTGTCTCCCTATTTGTTGTGTGATTTTTTTTTCTTTATAAAATCATTTGCATATGGTGTTTCACAGCTTGTTTTGCAAGTATATGCATTTACGTTTTAGTTTAGAGAAGTCAAGCTTTACTTCGCCCCTTCCGCTCTTTTCTTCGTATACACTAGCATTTGTCTACACATTTTGTGTGTATGAATACATCTTTTTAGAAAATGAGGAGGAGAGAGGGAGAAAGAATGTGGGAGGAGTGGGAGGTTTTTGTTTTTGGTTATTTATTTATTTTTATAATATTAGAGGAATTTTAACATTACCTGTAGGTGAGACTTCAATAAAAAATAGTAAAATTTGGACTCATGAAATTACATTATTGCCCATCATTTTTTTCGTGTGATAGAAGACTAAGTTGTCTTTTCACAAAAAAAGTTCCATTAATTAGTAAAGATAATAGCATCAGCCCAATTGATTTTAACAAGTCATACTAGCCCAATGACTAGTTAGAGCATCTCCAAGAGAATCCACGTATGATTTTTTGTTCTCTAACAGAGTTGTCAAATGAGTCTTCCAATTTAGAAAATATCTTGCACTCTCTAGATTTACAAACTCTCTATCTCACGCTTCAAACATTCTCTTTATTATAATAATGTGTCTTTGTCCACTTTTTTCTTAAAAAGAAATGCTAAATAAGGTCGCACAATGAAAGGTACTAAAAATTTACTAAGGTTTGTGGAGTATGTTGAGCAAAATTGTGAATCAACAAACTTTAGTTTTCAAACTGTCATGTGAGTCAACAGACTTGTATTTGAACAGTCACATTTAGAGAAATTGGTGGAGATGCTCCTAGGTGAGCCTTTCTACTTGTTTGTTGGGCTATATGTGATTTTGTAAAATGAACTCTCTATAGGTTGTGTAGCGGTGATTGAAATTTATTCATTTATAAGTGAGATGTTTTAAATTCGAATATTATAAATAGTATGTTCGGTATCAATTTATTTTATTACCCTTTAGTGTAAACATATCATTGTATCAAATGAAAAGAAAACTTTATGTAACCTTTTTTTTAAACTAATGGCCCATTTATTTTTGCTCACCCTGTAAATTGAGGGTGATACTCACCCTTTATTGATTCTTGTTAGAATAGTTTTAGTTTCAAAATTTGTTTCTTAAATCAATTAAACTAAATTAATTTTACAGCAATCAATGGGAGCCAATTAGTGGGAGGTGAGCATCACACTCACTTTTTTTTGTTGTTGTGGGGGGGGGGGGGGGGGGGGGGGGGGGGGGGGGGGGGGGGGAGGAAGAGCGTGAGCAAAGAAGCACTCAGGTATTATTCATATCCCTGACATATCTTCCGCTTAACAAAACACAACATAAAAATATAAGTAGGTCCCATGTTAAAATTATGTGTTTGATTTGGATCATATCTTTTAAACAGAGTTCAAATTTTTTTGTATTCATTTTATGTGTAATTTCTTTATGATTTTTATCATTGATTGACACGTTTACATGAAATTGGCTGGCCAAAAATGCACTGATAACTGTGAGGATAAAATGGTAGATTTACAATGATGCAATATTTGGACTGACCAATTTGATCAAGAGGAGAGGAGTCGCTTGTCTTAAAATTCTTAGCGCAGGGCAACGTGGGATGGATATTTGCAGGCTCATAATTCTCTCCTGAGTTCTGATGGAGCAAAACATGTGCTAAATTCCTAATTCCATGTGCACTACCATTTCAGTAACAAATTGCTGCCAATTGCAAAATTGAACCAAAATTATCAATCTCAAGTTGGTGTGGGAGAAATCGAACTCTGTTATTCATTGCCGCAGAGATGCAAATAGGAACTTCGTTCCTCCGCTCTAATCGGAACCCTTTTTGCGACACGTAATGCGTGAATTGGAACCTTTCTTTCCCAATAATTGGCTCAAATAACTTATCGAACTTCTTGTTTTAAGCCACTTAGTACGACGATTTAGTGGTATTCCTCTTTATTTGTAAGTAAGAGGTCTTAGGTTCGATTTTCGCTAAAGACGAATTTGAATTTTAACAAAAGCAAGAGGTCTTAGGTTCGATTTTCTACTTGAATTTTGGACTAAAAGCGTTCCTCTTATCTTAATTAATTTTAACAAAACCTCTTACCAGCCGTTAGATGAAAGTCGAATCGTTATAGTCCATACCCTATCATTTTAGGGTGGATCTTTTTTTAACTAATCACTACTAAATTCGTTTTATTTTGGTGGTATAACTACAACTATAATTTTTCTTTTTAATCATGCATTCAACGCTGAATTCATCTCATAACGTCACAACAATATAAAATTGGGTTTAAACAAATTGTTCGTTGACTTAGTCAATCAGATGGTTCGAACCATATAATACTTAGTTTAGCTTATGACCATCCTATTCAAAGGTATATTTGATGAGGGTTTAGTACTATAGTCTAGTGTTATTCTTCTTCATTTGTAAGTGACAGGTCTAGTGGTTTGATTCTCGCTAAAGACGAGTTTGAACCACATTATTACTAGCCTATTATGATGCTAAACTCATCTACTTCCCTTAGTATAAATAATATCATTTGTTAATATATATATATATATATATATTTGATTAGTAACAAACTCTTTATCATATAAATTTTGAGTCTTCACAACTCTAGTTAGTGGATAACTCGACTCAAAAGTGTGTCTCCCTATTTGTTGTGTGATTTATTTATTTATTTTTTTCAAAATCATCTGCTTTTGGTGTTTTACAGCTTGTCTGGCAGGTTTATACATTTAGGTTTTAGTTCAGAGAAGTTAAGCTTTCTGTCGCCCCTCCTGCTCTTTTCTTTGCATACACAAAGTGTGTATGAAAATTTTTTATTTTTGTTTTTGAAATAAAAGGAGAGAGGAAGAAAGTGATAGAGAATGTAGGAGTGCGAAATTGTTATTTTTATTTTTATTATTTATTTATTTTTTAATTAGAGATATGTTAGGATTATATGTAGGTGAGGTTTTGAAAAAAAAAAGTAAAATTTGGTTGTGTGAAATTACATTTCTACCTCATATTTCTTATCCATGTTTTATTTTAATTAGAGGGTTAAACTGATAATTTCATAAAATTTTGGTTGACAATGAGTGTTTTATTAATTAGTAGAGATAATAACATCAGCCCATTGATATAAGCCTATTTGATTTTAACAAGTTCTACTAGCCCAATGACTAGTCAGTGCATTTCCAAGAGAGTCCACGTAGAATTTTTTGTGCTCTAACATGGTTGTTAAATGACTTTTCCAATTTAGAAAATGTCCTACACTCTCTAAATTTACAAACTCTCTATCTTACGCTTCAAACGTTCTCTTTATTATAATAATGTGTCTTCGTCCACTTTTTTCTTAAAAATAAATGCTAAAAAAGGTTGCACAATGAAAAGTACTAAAAAATTACTAAGGTTTGCGGAGTATGTTGAGCAAAATTGTGAATCAACAAACTTTAGTTTTCAAACTGTCATGTGAGTCAACAAACTCATATTTGAACAGTCACATTTAGAGAAATTGGTGGAGATGCTCTTAGGTGAGCCTTTCTACTTGTTTGTTGGGCTATATGTGATTTTGTAAAATGAACTCTCTATAGGTTGCATAGTCCAGGTGGTGGAAGTTTATTCATTTATAAGTAAGATGTCTTAGATTTGAATATTATAAATAGTATGTTCGATATCAATTTATTTCATTACCCTTTAGTGTAAACATATCATTGTATCAAACGTAAAGAAAACTTTATGTAATCTTTTTTTTAAACTAATGGCCCATTTATTTTTGCTCACCCCGTAAATTGAGGGTGATACTGACCCTTTATTGATCGTTGTTAGATTAGTTTTAGTTTTAGTTTCAAAATTTGTTTCTTAAATCAATTAAACTAAATTAATTTAACGGCAATCAGTGGGAGACAATTGATGGGAGGTGAGCGAGCATCACACTCACTTTTTTGGGAGGGGGAGAGGGTGAGCGAAGAAGCACTCGGGTATTATTCATATCCTTGATATATCTTCCGCGTACCAAAACACGACATAAAAATATAAGTAGGTCCCATGTTAAAATTATGTGTTTGATTCGGATTATATCTTTTAAACAGAATTCAAATATTTTGCATTCATTTTATGTGTAATTTCTCTATGATCCTTATCATTGATGTCCACGTGTACATGAAATTGGCTGGCCAAAACTGCACCGATAACTGTGAGGATAAAATGGTAGATTGACAATGATGCAATATTTGGACTGACCAATTTGATCAAGAGCAGAGGAGTCGCTTGTCTTAAAATTATAAGAGCAGGGCAACATGGGCTGGATATTTGCAGGCATATAATTCTCTCCTGAGTCCTGATGAAGCAGAACATGTGCTATATTCCTAATTCCATGCGCACTACCATTTCAGTAACAACTTGCTGCCAATTGCAAAATTGAACCAAAATTATCAATCTCAAGTTGGTGACCCAATAATTGGCTCAAATAACTTATCAAACTTCCTGTTTTAAGTCACTTAGTACTACGGTTTAGTAGTATTTCTCTTTATTTGTAAGCGAGAGGTCTTAAGTTCGATTTTCACTAAAGGCGAATTTAAACCACATTACTACTACCACATTGTGAGGCTAAAATCGCACTCTCTCCGACTTCGTGTAGATAATATCGACTGTGCCAAAACAAAAAACATAAAAAAAAAAATTCATGTTTTAAGCCCCAAACTTCTAGTCCCTTCTTGTGAAAGCAAACATAAATTAAGTTTATTGTCATGTGGAATCTGAATTGGTTCAAATAAGTGATCAAACTTCCTATTTTACGCCCCAAACTTCAAGTCCATCCTGCGAAAACAATTTACATAAAATAAGTTCATTGAAAGTTTGAATTCAATAATGTAATGTCACGAAAAAAAATTTTACACAATATAATGATTAGACCAGAACGCCGCAAAAACAGTAAACCCAATTACATATAAATCATTCTCCCACCATGCAACCAAGCCAAAACACATAATAAAGACAAAATGACACCTATATAGCGACATTTCACAATTTCAAAAGGAACCGCAACCTCGATAGATTTATTCCTTTAATCGTTTGTCAAGAGGAAAGGGAATCCTCTCCTTATCCCTTCTTTCTAATTCATCAAATTAAGGATCTGTACCATTAAAAAGTGATTCAACGGTTGAAATTATTATAACTTTTAAAGTGAACCTCTATTTGTAGCCGTTATATCAAATTTCAACCGTATAAATATCTTAATTTGATGGATTAAGAGAAAAGAATCATTTCCTGTCAAGAGATCCTACTGCAATGATTATGTTTCCAAATTCGTTGAAACTTAACAAACTACTCACTTTTTAAAAGGAAACAAATATTATTCACCAATTGACTTATAAAACTAATTGGGAAATTTTGTTAAAATTACCCACAAATATTTTTTGGGAAGTTGTTATGAGCATTCCAAAAATCTTATTCTACACTTCTCACAAGTGTAGTTTTTCTTTCTAATTATAAAAAAATTTGAAATGTCAAATGAGATTTTAGAATGCTAATAACAATTCCTTACTTTTGAGACATGATCACCTCTGTGCTACCATTTTCGGAATGCCTAACGAACCTTGAAGATGACAGTGTGACGTATCTCCAGACCCCAAAAAGTTGAAATGCAATAGTATCATAATGCAAATAATATAACTAAGCTAGTACTCACGGTATCTTAAAACAATTACTTACGGTTACGCCAAAAAAAGAGTCAATATATAATTGAGATGAAATTGTGATAGTATTTCGAAACAATATTAACTTGTATATGATATGAAGTAATGAAATTTTCATTCCTTTTTTCATCTGCAATTCTTACAACAAACAAATTCTAAAGTTTTTCCTGTTCCTCTGTCAAACAAAATTACAAAAAAAGAAAAAAGAAAAAAGAGGGTTGACTAGAATCAAAGAAAACCTGTAACAATGTTACCACCATTGATGAACAAGAACACCACTTTGTCTCAGTGAAGCAAACAGGTCCAAGCACTGACCATAACTCTTCTCATACTTCGAACTCCTCTCGCCAGGGCAACACCTCTGCCACCGGTTGTAATGGCACTCGAGAAATATCTCGTCGATCAAACAGATTGCTCCGGTCTCAAACAGCCTCGGAATCAAATCGAATTCCGTCCCTTCCACATCCATCTTCATCACCACGAAATCCTTCTCCGAAAAGGTCTTCTTCAACCAATTCGCATAATCAAACCCCTGAATCTGATCCACCTCTCTGTTAAATCCGCCATTGGCCGCCTTTGCCGGCTGAATCCTCCCCATTCCTCTGCCTTTCTCCTTCACCTTCTCACCCGGGTCGCTATTGATCTCGAAAGACAATGTTTCATTCCTCACCCAAGCTGCATAAGGTAGCAATGTGACCCCCTTCTTCAACTTGTACTGATCATGGAATGTCTTATCGGCTTCAATGGCGAAAACTTCGAAACTCTTGTTCTGTTTCGGGTACTGCTTCTTGAACCAGCTGCCAATGCTGGAGCCATAGCTCCGAGCTCCGACATCCACGTAAGCATACCGCTTCTTGAAGCTTATATCCGCCATTGTTGGCAGGTACTTAACGTTCTGTATATTCTTCTTCAGAGTAATCCACGGCTTCAACGGCTCTATTTCAATCAAAGGCTCCGCCTTTCTCACCAGCTCCATCTTATGCTCAGGAACCGAGCACTTAGCACCAACACTGCCACCAGGGTTCTCGATTCTGTGGCCTAAACCCTCAATCTCGCCGCCGCCGCCGCACTCCTTCCTCAAAACCATCTCGCGAATCTTTGGCATCGACGAATTGAAGCCGTCGATGTCGCGCGAAGTCACGACCTTGCTGCAGTTGAACAATTCAATAAACGAATGGAAGCTGTAAGTGTCTCTCGCGCCCACGTGGACCACCGCAAAACCTTCGGGCTTCAGCGTCCGCACAATTTCGGCGGCGAAATCCGCCGGCTTTGGCGACTTGTCGAGACGTCCGCCGCCGGAGAAAACAAAGTCAAAGCTGTTGTCAGCAAACGGTAAACGGTGCGCTTCGCCCGGAATTACCAAAGGACGCAACGCTTTCTTAAAAACACCGACCGCGTCCTTGACGCCGGACTCTCTCAGGGCGTAGACGTCGTGACCGGAGGGGGTCTCGACGCAGAGCGACTTGGCTTTCCGGGAGAGGAAGCCCTGGGACATGAGATCCTGGAAAACGGCGGAGTAGAAATGGACGGCCTGGATCCAGTCCTTGCTGGTGTAGAGATCGGGCTTCGAGGACCCCGCCGACCTCGATGGCACGGCGTCGTTTTTGGCGGCGATGGCCGCACTGCCGGTCTTCGCTATAACGAAGTTAAGATTTTCCGGGAGAGAGAAGAAGCAGAAGTTGCCGAGCTCACACGACTCGCCGGTGACGGTGACGACGTAGGCGAAGCGGCAGAGAACAATCAAAACGCCGAACAAAAAACACCGTATAAAAACGTTCTTAAGGAGGCCGGGCTTGCCAGCGGCGGCGGAGCCGGGTTCCATCTCTGCAAAATATATACCCTTTTCTCTACAAAAAATTGGGGAAAAAACCAATATTTTTCTCTCTGTTTTGGGAATCGAAATCGAAAAAATAAATTGAATGTGTATAAAACTGAAGAAATCGTCCGGGGGTTTTGGCTTAGCGGGAGCAGAATCGGGCGGATGTGTGGTTGCCGCCGATGAGGGCTGGTGGTTTTAAAAGGGAGTTGCAGATCTTGGAGTTGTGGGGGGAAGGAGAAGCCATGGCCGGTTTCTTGTTGGCAACTTTATTTCTGTTTCGGCATGACTGAGACGCGCTCTCTTTCTCTCTGAAACTGCGAAAACTGAAAAGACTGCGTTCGACTGTTTGGGGAAGAGCCCGTAGGAAGGGATAAAAGGAAAGGAGGTAGAGAATAACGCGGTCACGGCACTCGCACGTGTCGTGACAGGGAGAGCCGGTTTGGCACGCGTGAGAGGAAGACGGGAGGAAGGATGATACTGTTTTCTAGAATATACGTGCTGGGGCTGTTGATTGCGTTTGCAATATGTTGTAATTACGATATTGCCATGTTGAATTAAGAACGGATTACCCGTAAGACTCCCCTTGTTGCAGTATTAGGAGGAAAAGCTAATTAAATTGTTACAACTTGTTTTGGTCAATTATTGTTTCCGAATTTGTGTGACAGTCCCTGCGTCACTTTTTGTTAGAATGTTATCTTCTGTTTTGTAGATTCTTGAAAAACATACCAAACGAGGTTAATTATGATGAGACGATTGAGTCGGTAACCTTGAATTAAGGTTCATATTTTTTTTGTTAGTCAAGCGATAACATTAGCAAATTAGATGTTAAATTAGCCATTAAAAGGGTTCAAACCTACTCTATCGTGTAAATGTAAGAGCACAACACATTTTCACTGACCACTTACAACTAAGGCTCCTATGGATCTATGTATTAATGAGTATCTTGATTCCTTGATGAGGGGTTTATTAATAATTTAATCCTAAGTTGGGAATATTTCTTTGTTTGATTGAGATGTTTATGGGAGACCAATTTAAGCAAGTCTCTATTATTCTTTTTTTTTTGTCAAACTTCCCGTTTTATTGATATAGTTTTATTTACAAATAAAATGTATCAGGTTCGATTTTCATTCGTTATGTATGCATGTTTTTGTTTGTAACAACGCATATGAGCGCTCGTATCGTTAGCCATAAGTGACAAGGGATGAGGAAATGGATGAACAACATAATGCATGGACTCTGAAAACCATTTCTAATAATCAAGATCACTAAACTGCGGATGGAATTATTAATCAAAATCATCCACTGCCCAACAACTGTCAGATGCTGCATGTGATGACAATAAATGGATTTCGTTAAATTAAATGACTTAATTACGAGAGCACACATTCTGTATGAATAATTTTATTTTTTGTTTTTTTTATTAAAGAGTATGATTAGTGTTTAATTTTTTTATAAAAGATATGGAACAATGATGATGTGACAGTTTATCTTAATAAGGGTATATTTTTTTAATATTACATAATTATTATTTTATCTTCTTTATATTAATATTGTGTATTAAAAGTGAAAGTAAAATAAAAAAAATAAAGATATAATTGTTATTACATAATTACCTGATAGGCCGAAAGGTAATTACCGGATCAGCCGGTGACCATGCCATGCTTACAGTGGGCCCACCGAACGCCGCAGTAGCCGTTTTGAACTTTTTCTGTTTGTCCTTTTATTAGGCCTTATTCGTAATGTAAATTGGACCATTCTCGAGGTTTTGATTGGCCCTCCGGGTCCACAAGCGTCTGTAAAGCGGAGCGTAAATTCTTTACTCCGATCAACGCGGATGGAAACGGATAAGGAGTGTCTATCCGAAAAAGAAAGATGCATCAACCCAAAACCTAGTCTGAAGCCCCAAAAAAGTAGAAGAAACCGAGAAAGCAAGAAAACTTAACATCAAACATTACGCCCACAAAGTCGTCGCCGCTGCTAAAAAAGGCCGCCATCATAGCAACAAATCAAACAAGAAGGAAGCGAGCGGTCATACAAAAATGGGGACAACTCGCGCATAATCCGTCCAACAAATGGATACAATATGATCCTAGGATCCCAAATCCGTCAAGCCATGAATCTGTTGGTGCTAAAGAACAATGTTTGAGTAAAAATTTTAATCTTGGAAAGGTTCGGAAATATTTGGAACAAACAAGGAATGTGAAATGGAAAGTCTGATTTTCGCTTCAAAACTGTAAATGTGTTTTTGGACTAGTAAACGACCTCGGATGACTAAAATTCATAGTGCATGCTCGTGGCGTTATTTCCTTTCCAAAAAGATATCGCGGATCCGATTCTGAATTCGGTCGACAAAGTCACAAATTCCAGTTATGTCCCTTTTTCCATATTAAAACCTTGATTGGTTAAACGTTTTATTAGGGATTAATTAATTAATTTTTAACTTTCAAATTATTTCAAATAGTTGTGGCTGTTTGAATTTGAATCAAACAGTTATACATATTGTGAAACGACATCTTACTGCGTATATATTTCTGACGTACACTTGTATTAAACACGTCAATTTGCATACTCATTCATATATCCTTTATGAGAGAGAAACATACATAAGTTTGCCAGAATCAAAGTTTCGGTGTTCAAACTTTGATCATAGATACTTGAATCTTAGTGGAGTAAACGCCTAAAGAACTACGAGCACTTAATAGTGGTGAAATTCTGTTTCAAGGACATTACAAATCTGCAAGCCTTCATCTGCAAAATCCGTTAGCTCATTGCATCTTGTAATTTTATTCTTTGTGATTATATTCATATATATATATATATATATATTCCGTTAATTTAGTTGATTCTGATTGTTGTTCCGCCAACAGAATCTTCAACCCACAAAGGTGTGGCTGAGGGGGCATATGCTGGAGAGATCTACAACAAGGGAAAGTTTTGGCATATGGATAAGTGATTGAGACTGTGATTTGGGGCAAGGCAGAAGAACAGATACAAACCTGTTGGTGGGATGGCGGGTATGGATGAGAGCAAGCCGGAGCGAGTGGGGAATGGAGGGGAGTAGCAAATTAATGGCAGCAAAGTTTTGGATGAAGAAGCAGAGAATTTTGATGGTGGAGGCAGAGGAATGGGAGAGATGAAAGCACCATTGAAGACATGGTAACATGCAAGGTTCTAAAAGATGCTATTCTCTAATCGGATGGCAGGTTGAAGCTTAATGGCTAGGAAGGGTCTAAGCAGGCACTTAGGCAGACCAGGTGGGGGCCTAGGCGAATTTAAGTACATTTATTACATATTGATTAAATAAGTGCCTATTTATACTTAAAAACACACACATAATTTTATTGGGATACATAAATTGCAAACTCAAATGACATATAAATTATAAAGTATTAGAACATATTAAAAACATGGAGAATAAACATATAATGAGTGTTCATCCAAGTATTCAACAAGTCTTTTACATTTTATTGAAAAATTAAAATGCAAAATGAAAGTTATCAATTTTATGTCTAAGTCAGAGTTGCGATCCAGGTTGGTTAGGTAGACGCCTAAGCAGGTCTAGACGTGCTTTCTTAATTTTCAAACACCTAGGACTAATCGTGACAGTGACTAGCTGCCTAGTGCCTGAACAGTGGTAACAAGCACCACATAGGATGGGGTGGCCACCACCGAGGGCGAAGAAGTTGCCACAAAGGATGGGAAAAGAACCGCCCCGAAAGGCGATTGGGAACGCCATGACCGAAGCAAACTAATCAGAGGGGGAGAGAAAGTCTAGAGATAAGCCATTAAGAAAGTTGTGTGGCCGTTGTGTTAGGGTTTGTAGTTTGTACATGTGTAAGGTTAAGTGATATCAAAATACAAACATGAGTGGATTAACAATTCACCTCGTTCAATTGCCAGTGTTAATAAATTTTCTTATCGTGTATCATAGTATATCTTAACTTTTTGTATGTCAATACATTCTTTTGAATACTTATACAAGTGATATTTCTAGCATAAACAGCTCTAACTCGATCCATAGTAAATTGAAGAAGAAAATCATAACTATCAAGACAATCTAATACTTTTTATACAGTAACATTTTCTGCTACGTAAGCTCCAATAAGTGAGGTGTAGTGGTTACACGACACGTGATGAAGTGGTTTGGTTGACAATTAGCACATAATTGAATTAGGGAGATGAGGCAGTTATGAATGTGAACGGGCAATGGAGTATTACGCGTGGGACATGGGAGGTCAGGATGGTTCCCACGGCAGCGCTGTTGGCGTATATGGGAAGTCAAGAGCAAAAGAGTGAGCGGAGGTCCACATGTCGTATTAAGTGCAATGTAGCCGTCGCCGGAATCAACGCCCTTATTGACTCGTCGTTTTTCCACACCCCATCTAACCTCCTTTTTGTGCGTTTTTTTTTTTACACCTAATCATCGTTTGTGAGGATTTTAAGGATTTTTTAATTGTGTCCATTTATCGTACATCGCAAGATCAGAAATTATTTTAATTTTTTTATTTAAAATTAAACACAAATAATACTTAACGAAAACTACTCGCACAATGTGCGATAAACGAACACGATTAAAAGAATTTCGAAATACTCACAAAGAGGACTCAGAGAGGATCCTCATTCCTTATCATCATCAACATCTATGTGCCATTATAGTCTAGTTAAGTCACATTCTTTGATTCTTATCATCCTCACAATCAATCGAGAGGGTTTCGTTGAAAACCCTTTTTTCGACTGATAATTGTTGTAATTTCATGAAATTTTTAGGATCAAGATGATCAAAATTTAAAGGCTACGAACTTCGGATAACATAATATATTGAAGTGTAATAAACATTTCGGTAATTTAAGTGTTTGGGATTTTAATTCGCTTAATGAGTTTTGTGTCTTGTACGTAATCAAATTTGTTTTGTTTAACTAACTATATCAGTATATTGATCTAGTAACACTCAATACCATATGTAAATAAGTTTCACTTTTAAAAAAGTTAACGAAAAAAATTAAGTTAAAATCATTCTTTAATAATATTAGTTTTAAGCTTTAAGCTATAACTATTGGAGGAAGAAATTGTTTATTTGTTATGGCTTAAAATTCTGTTACCTAAATTTTTAAGTTTTTTTTTTTTTTTTAACAATCGATATTATCTATACTAAAGGGAGAGGTGGGCTTAGCCCCACTATAAACTAACAATAATATGGTTCAAATTCACCATTAGCGAGAATTGAACCTAACATCTTTCGCTTACTAATGAAGATGTATATCACTAAAACGTAGTACTAAGTGGCATCTAAATTTTTAAGTTTTATCTGAGGGTTGAACATGGTATAAGTTGAGAGTTAT